CCCCCGACACTGCAGTGCGTCAGAGCAGATTGACGGCTTAACGCCATACTAAACGGACGGTCTTTACGCAGAGTCCGGGAGAGCACCGACAGCATCCTAAGAGGGCTAAGTGATAAGCCTGACTACCTTTTTAATTTCCTCCAACGCATTAGTTAGGGGCCACGTGCACGCTATTGCTTACGTCCGCGACCACGCCTGCGTCAGCTGCCATTGGCAGCACCCTGGGAAAGTCCCACTTAACTCCTGTCTGCCCCAAAGCACGGAATATTCCCCTACACTTATTCCCCTTCGGAAAAAATCATGTTTTAATTAAAAGTAGTGTTTGGAATACATATATTTTTTGTTGGTTGTATATATTTTAATTATATTATATCTTACATGATTTAAAAAAAAAATTATTGTCTATAAAAAAAACATTCAACCCTTAATTTGACAAGAGAAAAGATTTTTTTTGTAATTTCAGACATCTAAGTGAATATTTAAATAAGGTTTCTTTACAGTTTACAGTGTGTATAGACATTATCAAATTAAGGATTAATAGTTTTAAATTCCACGCGAAGTCGCGGGCAAAAGCTAGTATATACAGGATTGATGAAATTTTCGATACTAACGGAATTTATAAACTATAATACTGTTTTAACAATTTAAATGAAAAATCCTAAATATTTTTAAATACTATTAACTTGTGTAGTTATTTTTAAAGCAACTAACATATTTTGAGTATCAATTGTTCGTAAGTTTCATTTGGGACAAAAAAATCCAAATTTTTTGCTTTTTTGATATTTTTTTTTTACTTTTTTATTTATTACTCTAAAGTATACTTAAATCCATCTTGACGGTAACAAGTTTTCACTAACTTGTCGCGACAGGCTTGTAACATTGAAGGTGACCTTGGGCCTGTCAAAAACATCCTTGGAGTCGTTAAAGCTGACATTGATTCCGTCAAATATATCTTTGGGACTGTTAAAGATGACCTTGGGACCGTTTAACGTGACCTTAGGGCTGTTGAAGGTGACCTTGGGTCCGTTGAACGTGACTTTGGGGCTGTTAAAAGTGACCTTGGCGCCTGAAGCGAGCTTGTTGCTGTTGTGGGCGACCTTGGGCGCATTAAAGGTGACCTTGGGATGCCAAGGTCAGTCGTTACAGTAACAATACATATTGAGATGGGGATGCGTTGCACTAATACAGCTCGGTTCGTTATTATAACTGGAAAAAATGCAAAATTAGTTTTTTTTTATTTTTTTAATATTTTAGAAAATAGTTACTTTAGAAAGCGTGTGTAGTTTTTATTGTGATCATTTAGCAAATAACTGGTATAGCTAAACGCTACAGTTAATTTTCGTTTTTAAACTAAGTTTACTAAACGTAGTTTATTTTTGACAGACTTCTCAAAAGGAGGTACTCAATTCGTCTGTATATTTTTTTGTAAAATACAATTTAGTATGCTTAGTTTGAAAATAAAAAATGTATCACGGAAGACATTTTTCACGAATATTACAAAAACACCAACATCGTTTTTCATTGGTCAAAACCTTGTTAATCTAATTAATATTATAAATGCGAAAGTTTCGATGGATGTTTGTTAGTTTGTAGCCTAAACTGCTGAACGGATTTCGATGAAATTTGGCAAAGCTGTAGAGGATAGTCTGAAACATAAGCTACTTGATTTTAATTTTTTATAATTCCACGCGGACGGAGTCGCAGGCTAAAGCTAGTTTACAATCATTTTCCGTTTGTCGTAAGATTTGTACAACTATAAAATTATGAGACGTGAAAACAAGTTAGTTCAAAATAACTTAGGGCTAAGTGATACTTACGCATTAGTTCTTGATATATCACGTGAGTTGATTTCGAAGGCGTTCATCGCGGTTACGTAAGTTATCGAGGCTTCGTACACGCCCTTACTTGGACCCACAATTATCTACAAGTAAAAATCAATCAATGTAACCCAGTTCTTATTTAAACCAAAAAAAATCATTGACAACATTAAAAGAAGGAATATGACTTTTTTAACGGATTCAGAGGTCTTATTTATACTAATATTATAGCCTAAAGCGTGATAAGTGTAGGGCTTTTTATTAAAAAATGAATTATTTAAAAATATGCTGTAATTGCTGACATCTTAGGCAACAAAGAAGTGTGTGTTTACGCTTTATTATAATAGTATAGATAACATTTACATTTTTACACACAATTACAAATGTCATTGGATAGCAATTACCGTTGCCATGACAACCTTGCTGTTTTTATATCAGCTTGTAGTTTTTGTCTCTTTCTCGCATGACGGTTTTTTCCAAATTATTTACTCCCTAAATTTAATAGCGTGAAAATATATAACCTAAAGCCTGTGGTAAATAGAGCTTTTAATTAAAAAAAAACATTCAAAAATAAATTTTCACGCTGTAAAACTTAGAGGGGCAAATAATTTGGAAAAACCATCATGTGGGAAAGAGACTATAAACTACAAGCTGCCAACATTAAGGAAAAAAGGTTGGTAACGGTAATTGTTATTAATATCAAAGGCCTTCATTGTCGTTTCTGTATTTGAATTGACATTTGACAAAATGTAAACAATAAAATATTTTTAAATAATTTCATGCGTAAAGTCGCATGGAAATAGCTAGTTTTTGATATAGAAAGATGACTGTAATTACCTTAACCTGGTAGTTTTCTTTAGGTATGTTAACTTGCGATCCAAAGTTGCCAACATATCCGTCAGCGTCTCTCGCCGCCTTGTACGTCAGCATGCCAGTGTTGCCGCGCTGTCGTAGCACCCACGACACTGACGTCAGTGTTCGGGGAGCACATTTCTCTCTAAATATACATAATAAAATACTTACTAAGAAAATAAGACATTAAAAAACACATAAAAAGTAGAAGACTGAGAAATATGATATAATTTAAACTAATTTTAGAAAGATTTGTATTTTCGTATCTATTGGAATAACTCAAAAACTATTCCAACTAACTTTTACCATTAGAAAGGTATCTGTGTATAGGCTATGTGTTTTTATTATTTTTTGATTTAAAGGCGAACTCGCGAGCAACAGCTAGTATAGACATACTAATATTGTAAAGAAAAAAATGTATTTTTGGATGTATTGAAATAACTTAAAAAGTAATGGGCCAATTAAAAAAATCTTTCGCTATTTAAAGCTACGTTATGAATAACATAGGCTATATTTTTCCATTTCACGTCTGTCTTGTGTGGTCGTGGTATTCGGGGGTGAGCAGACACAGACGGTTGAAAACCACATTTTTTTAGAAAATCGATTCAAAACTATTATCAATTTAAACAACTTAGACAAAATATTTGATTTACGATATCGATATGATAAAATATATCAAAATGTATCAGAAAATATACATAAATCAAGTTACTTTAAGTTTTATACGTTTTTAACTTTTTAATAATGAAATACATTATCTAGATAGACGAATTAGTAAACCTAATACTCTTAATAAAAAAATAACCATGCATTGAACATATAATAACTTTTGGATCTGGGGGGGGATCCAAAACCATTTGTGGGTAGACAGGGTTTTTTTTTATTTATTTATTTTCTTTAATTCCTGCCTGTAGTTCTTGGAGCAAACTTTGCCTTGTTATATCTTTTTTTTATTCTTTACTTTGGATTTTTAGGCAGGGTACTTTACTCACCTAACCTCGTCTGTGAGGGAATTAATGTATTTAAGTAAAGCGTCAGCTGTCCGGAGGTACAGCGGGTCGTCTTCAGAGACATTCCTCCAGGCGAAGCAGGCGCACCAGTGCGGCTCAATGCCGGCCTCACTACAAGACCTATTCTTAGGTATCTAGAATAATATTATTTTAACCTTTAAAAGTATGACAATCTTTCTTATACACAATTTTGAAAAAAAAAAAATTTAAAAAAAATAAAAAAAAATTCTTTATTTTCCTTCAATCTATATTCAATTTATGGTTATTAAAAAAACATGCATTTAAGGGGTAAACACAGACTTAGAAATAAATACGGTATAACTTTAAACTTAGGAATAAACTGATTATAAGCAAATATTTGTACTGAATTTGCTTATACTAAGTTGATTCCTAAGTTTAACTTTATACCGTATTTATTTGTAAGGCTGTTAAATTACATTTTATAGGACCCTTGGTTCCTGAATTAGGATCCCCTACAAGAGCCATTCATTTCCTTAGTGAATAATACATTTAGTGCCTAAATGAATAATCCATCCATCCATACATACATACATCCATCCATCCATACATACATCAATCCATCCACCCATCCATCCATCCATCTAGACTTTTGCATTTATTTAATGGAAAGGTACACCAATTGCATGTTCAAAGTTCACAACCAAATTAAATATATTCTAGACAAAAAAACACAGAACATACAAATGACATAAAAGCAACTCGTTTATACATATCCCCCTTAAAAGGTATATAAAAATCACACAAGCTTCAAAGATATTTGAGTCCATAGATTATAGAATTATTCCCAACCGTCACACCGCTCTGTCCCCACATGGGGATAGATGAGAACAAAGACCGGAACCTTTAAGGTATAAAATAAGTTCCAACCGTACATACGTCGATAAAGGTGGGACGGATGATACTATTCTCATCTGTCCCCACATGGGGACAAAAGGGTGACAGTTGGGAATAATCCAATTTTTCGTATATTACTTACCGGTTCCAACAAAGTGAGTCCCCTTGTATAATCAGCTCCGGGCACTTTGTACGTATTCCAGTGCTGTCTCATGTGCAGCGCGTCCAGGACAGTCGCGTGTATATCGTGTGGGGTGGACAGAACGTTAACATTATTTCGCAGCACATCCTCAACCTCCGGTCGCTCGCGTTTCAGAGATTCCGGTAAAACTATAGCCATTAGAGGTAATCTTTCTTCCAATTTCCCTTGGAATGTATCTCTGACGTAAGCGTATCTAAAAAAGGTAGGAAGTACAGTCGAAGAAAGTGTCGGTGTTATTAAATGTTCGTTTGAATATTTTGAAATGACGCGGAAAACTTATATAAAATACATTTTTCTATTTTTTTTTTTCTATATTTAATTAACATATTTTGTAAATTTCGTTTTTTTGGTCAATTGATTTATTTTTTAAACAAATAATCTACTTCTGTGCACAGGTAACACAATTTCACTATTTATATTATGCATGAAATTATGAAAATTTTATTTTATTGTTTACATTTGTCAAATTATCAATAGCAAATGTCAAAATGACATGACATGACAAATCTTGGCAATCTTGCTTCTTGATGTTGGCAACAATTTATGGTCTCTTTCCAACATTTGGGTTATTATCCAAAATATTTACCCTCTAAGTTTACTGGCGTGAAAATATGTAGCCTAAAGCGTGACGCAAGTGTAGAGCTTTTTATTAAAAAAAGAATTATTCAAAAATATGTTGTAATTGCTGACATCTTAGGCAACAAAGAAGTGTGTGTTTACGCTTTATTATAATAGTATAGATAACCTATTTTTGTGTATAGCTAATTAAAATGCCATTATTTTAATTGGAATTAACTTGTGTCTGTGCAAATGTAATTAAAAAATCGCTATTTTTAAGTCAGTTGGCTTGTCACGTCATATTAACTTAGGGTAGGCTCCTAGCTCCTGGTGATGAGTGCGGTTTACCTAGGTCCGTGGTCTCCCATCACCATGAGGAATGTGTCCTCCAAGTGACCAGCTCGCTGGAACCCTTGCAGGAATTCCAGCACATCCTCATCAGCTGTAGATATCATGTTGAAGTCATCGTGAGTGATGTCCGCTATGAAGGTGAAACAAAACTTCTTACCGTCCAGTTTTAGAAACTGAAAAGTTTAATAAATTAAAAGCATCATAAATATGATATAATACACAGTTTATTTACGTTAGTTTATATAGAAATACACTTTTGAAGTATTTTACTGTAAACACGATATCAAAAGCAATTTTAAAATAAAAATTTAATGAATAGAATTATTAATTACCACTTATTTGTACCGGAAATAATAAAAATGAATCGATTTTTGACTTTTTGACCTTGAGAAACTTTGTTGTTTTTTACATCGAAGTGACATCTGAGCGTATGTTATGAATGGAATAGACGATTGACGTCAACTGTCTCATGACAACTCCGGTCGCGTTTTAGTCGCTCGAAAATGGTCGTAATTTTATTTTATTATTTTTAGCTCAATGGTTGAATGTTTTTGCGTCATTTTTTTTTGTGGTTATTTTATAACAAGTAGAATCATTTAAAAAAAGAAAAAAATACCTGCACATTCGCTATTATTAATTACAACTTATTTGTACCAGGAATAATAAAAATGAATCGAATTTTGACATTTGATAACCAATGAGATACTTTGTTGTACATCAAAGTGACATCTGAGCGAATGTAATGAATGAAATGCAATATAGTTTGTCTAAATAAGATAGATTAGTTTGATAAATGACGCATATGAAGTATAGAATTTAATTTGCATGAAAGTAAATGCCATACTTAATAGACAGGTATCGTAGTGACGAAACACGCAGCCAACAATTATGAACTATCGATATTCGGTTTAAATAATTATCGAACTCAACTAAAGTTATGTTCTTCTGAGGACAATTCTAGTATTGATTATAGTGTAGGGAATTTAACGATGACAGAAATAATAGCGAAATCCAATTCGATTACGTACGGCTGTACTAGTAATAAACATTTATTTACTCTCATTATTTATTATGGTCATTATTAATTTCAGAAAACAGTGTTTTATTTAATTAGTTATTCACAATCTATCGATTCCAACTTCTATAAGAATAAAAATCGAAAATCGATAAGATTCATGACTGATTAACCCATCCCTACTAGATTTGAAATGAATTGTCAAACGAATCTAAATTATTTAGACAAACCATAGTAAAATTTAAAAATACTCACTTGATCGGTGATATTTAGCATAAGTTTATACTGCGGCGTGTCTCCCACACAATATTTTTTAGTCCCAACATTCCACCATCTTTTACTTTCATGATATTCTTCCATATCAGGTTGTTTATTGAAACCTTTGAAACGATACTGAAAAGTTCCTATCCACGGCATATCTTCTAGATACGCGGTGCGATATCTAAAAATGTAAACATTGAATACTAGCTGTTGCTTCCGACTTCGTTTACGTCGAATTAAAAAAACAGTACAATAACATTTTTTTTCTTTAATTAAATAGCCTTTTTCATGTTAAGTTAATATTTAAAACATTTAGAGTATATCCCAACAGTGGCTGATAGAGACTCAGATAGCAATGACATCACTGTCAGATAAAGGGTCGTCCATAAATTAGTGAGGTCATTTTTATTATCTGCGATTACGCTTAATATTAAATCTTAAGCAATCTAGATTAAATGGGCCAAAACAGTATTTTTTTTTGTTTCAATTAGAAAGAAAATTGCGTTATATTTGCCGAGACTCCCTCCCTCTCTCTCCAACGTAAGATTAGATGAGATTTAACTCGACCCAACAAGGGGGAGGCCCCTTTAAACACCTCACGCAATTTATGTAAGGTAACAAAATCCGATATTTCCATCACATATTTTACACGTTGTATTATCAGACAATTTACAATTTTGTGGGACAGGCCCTTAGTTTTTTTTGGCAATTGATTGTTCAGTATGTTTGTCTGTGTGTTATGGACGCCCCCTAAGGGAACAAAATCCGATATTTCCATCACAAATTTTACAGGTTGGATTATCAGATAATTTGGTGGGCTTTCCTAAGTTTTTTATGGCGATTGTTCAGTCTGTTTGTCTGTGTGTTTGTGGTCGCTAATCTCAGAAACTATACAACCTATATTAACGGGTTTTCCACTAACTTATTACAATCATCACTTAAAATTTAAAAGAGAAAATCAGTCTTAGGTTATAACTTACCCATCTTCTTTCAACTTATAGAAGATAAACGGCATAGAGTCTAAGGTATCGTTGCTTATCTTCTTTTTTCTAACATCAGGCAGTTCCAATTCCGTCTTACCAATTAAGATAGGGAACAGAGCTGCCGGAGTACCGTCACCCACGATATTGTAACTGAAATACCACAAAATATGACAAACTAGCTTACAACCGCGACTCTGACCGCATAAAATAAAAAGATAAGTAGCCTATGTATTCTTCCAGACTATCTTCTATGACAATCATCGAGATCCGTACAGCAGTTTAGGCTACAAACTAACAAACATCCATCTAAACTTTCGCATTTATAATATTGGCGAGATTTCGAAAGAAATATAGTGCTACAAAGTAATAAATCGTACTAAGTCTGGATATTAAAAGGTATCTGCGGAAGGTATATAGAACACAATTTGAAATAACACATATGGTACTTTCTAAGTTTTTTTTAGTATCCCACCGGGACAGTAAAGTTAGTTGCACTATAATTTATATTAGAAAACTTACCCTTGTAATATAACTGCTTTTAAATCGTCTCGTAAAAACTTGTAACTCTTCGGCATCCGTCTGATAAAGCCATTATGCGAAGTGGAATCGAACCCTAATATTAATACGTTTAATGTATTCTCCCTGCCCTCTGGCGGAGTTTTGGGGTGGACAGCGGAACGGAAACCTATACTGTGGCCTTTCCATTTTGATGGTAATATGCTGAAAAATTGATCAGATTTTTTTAATACACAAAAACCTTAAATAAAAAAAATATCGCCATATATTGCTGTGACTTTAAACAATTATTTCTTTAATTTTAACTAGATTGTAACGTATTATTTAATATTTTTTACGAATTTACTCGACATATTCTAAAAAAATTAGAACAAAAAATAATTATAACGACATTTGAATTTTTCCACTATCATTTTTAATTTTTCTATTCTCACGTCTAATATTTGCGTTTTTCACCAATATAATATATTCAAAGATTTAAATGTTTTACCTATTTAGTCAAAATTAACAATAATAGAAACAAAAAAACAGCTCTTATAAAGAGGCCTAAAATATTTTGTAAAAAATGAAAAAAAAAATTTTTTTTCAATAGTAAACATTTACAGTTACTTTGGAATAAACTGAGTATAAGCAAATATTAGTACAAATTTTGCTTATACTCAGTTTAAATTTATACCGCGGCTTTTTTGTAAGACTGTTTTTTGTGACTGAATGGCCACTGTTTGCCTTGAAGAGGCATTTACAGATTCACCGGGCTTGAGGTGGACGAGCGCAAGGCGCTTAGTCTGAACCTCTTTTATAAAAAGCAAATTTAATTCCTCATACATATATGTCTAAATTTAAGAATGTGTATATCAGAGGACGTTTGAAAGTAGCGCCAGTGGTGGAAACATTGAGAAGAAAAGGGTTTTTTTTTATAATATAAAGTGGAAAACGAGCAAGGGGCCACCTAAATCCCCCAAAATGGGCATCCGCAATTGCAGATGCGTTGCCTACCCTTATACGACGGAGGAGACGCACATAAAGAGGATATTTCCCCTTCCTATGCATCTCCTCCGCCAAATCCACTTCCCCTTCCCATCCTCTCCTTATAAGAAAAGGGTGGTAAAAAATGGAATTAAATTAGGCCTCCGGCACCACACTCATCAGACTGTACACGGAATTGCTTCCATTTGACGCCTGTCTTCTGTGAGGTCATGGTATTACTGGAGTCGTGCCGGCCCTGCAGTGCTAAGATGTTAAAGCGGGCACTACCACTGTTAAGGGTGGTATGGACATGTTACGCGAGACGATTGGGACATAAACCAGAAAGTGTTAAGAATGAATGTGGCTACAAAGGAAGAGGAAGACCGAAGAAAGTATGGATGGATTGCGTGAAAGCTTAAGAAAGGAGTGGTTTCAGATATGACAGATGTATGGAAGAGCAGCACATACTGTGCCGACCCTATAAGGGATAAGGGCAAGTTGATGATGACATACCTATATATAACTTTAAACTGTCGTGGTTTTTACAAATATAATGTTCGTACCACGATTGAATTTTTTTTAGCTCCCGATATTTCGGCACAGTTGCATGCGCCATGTTCACGGGCTGACTGAAGTGATGCGGTAGTGTGAAAAAAATATCGGGAGCTAAAACAATTCAATCGTGGTAAGAAACCCGTATCTTACGAAGATGACATACCTGTCTATATGATTTCCAGTACATTTAACTTTGACATGGTCACTCCTTGTTAATACATAAGGATTACTTCCCTTTACTACAATATCTTCACCAATTACATATTTACTATCATTTATATGAATAATATCATTATATGTACACTCTATGTCTATCGTTGTTTCTAGAATCTCCTTGACTACCTTACATTCTGAATGCTGGAAGTTTAAAAAAAGAATTTAGACAATCTATACTATCTATACTAAATATACAGAGGAAAGATTTGTATTTTTGTATATTTTGGAATAACTCAAACACTGGGCAGATTTAAAAAGCTGACCTTTAGAAAGGTCATTTGTAATATAGGCTATTTTAAATAATTTTATAATTACACGCGGACGAAGTCGCGAGCAACAGCTAGTCTATACTATTCTTATAAAGAGGAAAAATTTGTATTTTTGTATTTCTTGAAAGAAATGAAAATCTGGGTCGATTTAAAAAAAAACGTTAGAAAGGTTATTACTGTTACTCGCGACTTCGCCAGCGTGAAAATAAAAAAAATAATTTAAAAACATAGCCTACGTTACTAACAGACAAATTACCTTTCTAACGGTGAAAGAATTCTTAAAATTGGCTTACCAGTTTTTGAGTTATTTCAATACATACAAAAATACAAATCTTTCCTCTTTATAATTAGAATATAGATATAGGCTATATTTTTAACTAGCTTTCGCCCGCGACCCCTCCTCGTGGAATCAAAATAACAGAAGTAGCCTATGTGTTCTTCCAGACTATACTCTACGTCTGTACCAAATTTCATCGAAAGCCGTTTGGGCAACAAACTCTAACAAACATCCATCCATCCATCTAAACTTTCGCATTTATAGCATTATTATAAAGTATGTTAATCTTACTTCTTACTAATATTATAAATGCGAAAGTTTAGGTGGATGGAAGGATGTTTGTTAGAGTTTTCAGCCTTAGCAGCTAAACGGATCTTGATGAAATTTAGCATAGATGTAGAAGATAGTCTGGAACAACATATAGGCTACTCACTTTTGTTTGTCTTAATTCCACGCGGACGGAATCGCGGGCGAAAGCTCATTGAATCATTCTATTTATTAAAAAAAACTGCATCAAAATACCATAACTTTAAAGATCGCATACATACAACACTGAGTGACTTTGTATTGTCGGCATGTGTTTAAAAAAACTTATTTGAACGAATAATAAAAATAACAATATTACTTACATAACATTTAACCCAATCTTGACCTTGACAAACAATTTTGGGTAATACCTTGTCAAATTGTGTCACTTCTTTGGCGAAAGGATCCAAATTCGGTATCTCACATCCTGTACCCTTGTCCTCCTTTAACGCCTCTTGTATTTTATTCTCAATGTATCTGCAAGTAATAATTACAAGGAATTGAAAATAGGTACTATAGAACATATTTTAAACATCTAAATAATAGCTATTGCCGCAACTCCGTCCGCAGGATTGAGGGCTATGTGTTCCAGAATATATTCTACAACTATGCCACATTTCATCGAGATCCGTTAATAAATACATAAAAATTTATAAACAAATAAATATCTAAATAAATAAATAAATAAATAAATAAATAAGTAATTTAAACGGCAAACTAGCAAACATCTAAATTATCGCATTTATAATACTAAGGTTTTTATTTAAATAAACAAACTAACCTACATTCGGACGGCATAAAAACTTAACCTAGTTATGCATTTCTTAACATATTTACTACTCTCTACCACTCCCAAAAGCAACTTACAAAAACTACTTACTCGATCACAGTCTTTCTGAAAAAAAAAACAAAAACAATCATGTAATAAAACAAAAACTAACAAACTAAAGTATAGTTCGACAAATTCATCTGGCCCAGTGAGACGTTGTGTTAAAGGATGATTCTTTCATGAAATATATAAAAAATCTACATAGAGAATTTCAAACATGACAACTACAACCCTACAGAAATTTTTACCCGACTGACAAAGATGGCAATTGTAAGGGTACTGTTCTGTACTAGCTGTTGGCCGCGACTTCGTTCGCGCGAAATTAAAATAAAAAGTTAGCAGCAGTTTATTTTCGTCAAGTTGAACCGTTCTGGAGATATGCTATATAACATCCATCCATCCATCTATCTAAACTTTCACATTTATAAGGTATACTTTCTTTAGCCTACCGAGCCAGATAAATTAGTCGGTCTTTAATGTATAGCATAATAAAACATTTCTTCTACAGCAAGAAATATTTCATTTTCACAAACAAAAGCAAAAACTACAAAAACTCCTAAACTAACTCTAACTAACTCCTAAACTACAAAAGCAAAGTAATAAATTCACACTTCATGCATATAATTAAGGGCAAACGTATCAATAATTTATCAAATGTTGAAAGTAGCCACATGCCACATGCCACATGCTATGAATCATGTCGCCAGGGGAAGGTAGGGTGTGGTACATCTTTCCCTTACCCAGCTGCCCCTTACAATATTAATAAACGTAAATTATTATGAAATAATTCTTATAGTGTTTTCTATAGATATTCCGCTAATGCAGGTCGCTTGAACTGACGAGGTGACGCACAGTAATACCGTATCTCCCCTTTTACGTCCATTTTTCTGTCAAATACTTTACCTTACTTCCTTAAAACTTCACACAACACCGTAAATGGTACCGAGATTAACGACAACGCCTATTTCATCCATAATTTATTTGACAGTATTTTACCTGTGTCTTTGGTATCAAAAATGCTTTTATATAAATAAAAAAAAAATGTATAAGGTAAATAAACTTATCAAAGTATTACTAAAAACTAGAGTTCTATTTGTATATTGCATATTTCACATGAGGAAAAAAGCAACTAATATAAATAACGAGCTGTTGCCCGCGACTTCGCCCGCGTGGTATTAGAAAACATACGAACTATATAAATTACAAAAAGCTACGTATCCCTCGGGAACCGGACATTTCTCGGGGATGAAGCTTATCTCATGTTAACTCCAGACTTTGTTTTATATCTGTGCCAAATTTCAATAAGATATGTTGAACCGTTGCAGAATGATCGAAATTTCATGTCTGTGTTCTGTGCCAAATTTCATGGAGATCCGTTCAGCCGTTTAGGCTACAAACGCTAACAAACATCCATCCATCTAAACTTTCGCATTTATAATATTAGTAAGATAGAAATACAAAATTTATTTTTTTACAAACATTTGCAAAATTTTCCTTAGTAACAATATTAATAAAGATGTCACGTTACATGTTATCTAGAAGATACGGAACAGATAATCTATATCAATTGATTTTCACGGAAAAGGAAAAAAACGACAATAAAAAACTAAAATGACTCATATGACGAATGATTACTTCCAAAGGTTATAAAAACTAATCACGTCAAAAATAATCTAAGGCCCTTCGTACACAAGGAAACGTGAATCTTAAGAGCGTACGCACACCTTTGACTAAACTATCGCACAACTGTAATCTCGCTTTAATTACGAGCTTCGTTACACAACGTAACGAAATCCGATATTTTACATGTTTGATTGTTATCAGACAATTTACAATTTGGTTGGACTGGCCCTAAATCTCGTAAACGTTTTTATGCTCACGACCAGCGGCGGATCCAGGGGAGGGGGGGTCATGGGGGGAGTCCCCCCTGACCTGGTTATTCGAGAGTTTGACAAAATATATTTACATACTTTATCAAACTTTTGACTTGACCACGACTATCTGGCCCCTCTGGCACTAAAGCTGGATCCCCCTTACTCATGACTGCATTTACGTATCCTCGTATACGAAAGGCTCAAGTTCTTTCCGACAATGTGTTTGTGTCAGTTTTTCTACACTGGGGGCCCATAAATATGCACAATGTAACCATGAAAAGCCAATAAACATCTAGGAAGTCAATTACCTGTTATTGATGTTTGTAGGTACTGAATCTAGTGCGTTTAGATGCTTAAAAACTTTAGGTGCAATTCTACTCAACGCTACATTACTGACTGGTTCTAAACTAGAAGATAAAAAAGCATATAAGAGAGTGGTTTATAAGGAAAACATCGAATAAGAATATACGGATCACTGATCTGTATAAACGGATAGGTGTTTTGCAACGATAGCTTTTGTTTTATTCGGATTTAAACGCGCTTGTAATATTACTGACAGTTAATTATATTATAATATTACTAGCTGTTCCCGTGAAATCCGCAAGAAATTACAAAAAAACTTTAATTTATTGTTCACATTTGTCAAATTCTCAATTGCAAATGTCAAAATTACCGTTACCATAATAACCTTGCTTCCTTGATGTTGGCAGCTTGTATTTTCTAATCCCTTTCCCACATGAAGGTTTGTTTCTTTAGCGTGAAAATATATAACCTAAAGCGATTCGTAAGTGTAGGGATTTTTATTAAAGAAAGAATTATTCAAAAATATGCTGTAATTGCTGACATCCTACGCCACGAAAAAGTGTGTTCACGCTTTACTATATTAGTATAGAAGTATAGAAGTATAGATTAGTTCAAATCTTTACCACAACTTCCAATTGTTACCATTAGAGTAGAAATGGCCAAAATCAAATAGGCAAAAAATAATATGTCTTATAGCCTATCCATTTATAGAGGTAAGTGTGCTGATAAATACTGTCCAAAAAAATACATAGATTGTATCTTTTTTTCAGCTATAAATTAAAGTTATACGTTTATGCACATTCTTATTCGAATCCCAGTGCAAATGTTAAAGTGACAGATTAGGGATAAGAATTGAGGGCTCAAAGACACTTCTAAAATTATAGAAAAAAAACACGATAAGGTCAGTTTTTTTAATTTTATCACGGATGAAATCTGACGAATAACGTGATACTAAGAGCCTTTTTATATTCTTATCCCTATATCCGACAATAGAAGAACCACAACCAACAAAAAGCATAAAAAAGAAAGTATAATAAGATTCAATATTTACGCCAGCTGAGGCGAGCGATCGCAACTAAGCAACATTAATGTTTGAATATTATAATACTATGACAATACAAAGTTTTACAGAGATAAATATATTTAAATCTACATTTAATCAAATGTAAAATTCTCATACTTTAAGTCGTAAATTATTGATATGATAAGACTTTCTGTCATTACGTTGTTTTATTTGATTTGATCTAAGATATTTATTTGGCATCGAATTACCAATATTAATTTCTACATAAAGATTATGTTTCTCTGCCACTTATTTTGCAAACTTACATAGATTGTGATGGCTTATTTTTATGTGTCTAACAAGTAAGTGACCACCAAATATACGGTACAAGTAAGAGGATGTGCTGAAAGTCCATATTTCCCCTTCTAGCAATAATTTCTTTGTCAGAAATTATCACATAATACAATTGGAGTGTGAATATGAAATCGGAAACAACAACGATTTTTTTTACATTTTAACATGTTTGTCTGTCCGCAAGTCCGCGATAGTTTGACTGGAATTTGACATAATGGTTGCTTGAATACTATAGGCTACTTATTTTAACTCTGCTAACGAAGTTGCGAGCGACTACTATCATAGAGTGCGTGCAAAACTTTGAATAAACTATCGCACAACTGTTTACTCTCGCTTTAATTCCTATAAGTTTATATGAAGCTCATAATACTCGATTTGTAGTTGTGCAACTAAACAGTTGAATTGGCTGCGAAACAATCGACAATCGCAAAACAGTTGTGCGATAGTTTAGTCAGTGAGCCCGCTATTAAGGTAAACAATTTTTTTTATCATAAAACAGTTATCAGCACATTCACCTAGACATTTATACGCCCACTTATTTACGACAGAATTCTACTGTCGAAACGACATTTTAATTATTATTTAACTAGCTTTCGTCTGCGAGTCCATCCGCGTGCGATTTAATAAAAAGAAAAGTAGCCTATGTGTTCTTCCAGACTATCCTCAACATCCATACCAAATTTCATCGAAATCCGTTCAGCCGTTTAGGCTACAAACTAACAAACATCCATCCATCTAAACTTTCGAAGTATGATTTCACTGGTCTTATCTCAAAGACTTGGGTGTACAGTCAGCTCTATAAATATAAACAAATTTACAAAACTTTCCAATGCATCATACGGCTTCGGTTTCAAAAATTATGAATGAACAAATCCGTTTACAAATTCATGCTAGTGTCGAATACTTGTCTAAATACTGAAACCAAAAGCATATAGTCTAAAGATTTATAAACGTGTCTATATTTAAGCAGCTAACTGTACATTTGTTTTGTATAGTTATCTACTTAAATATTTATTGACATTGCTCGCAAATAACATCGCAAACGTGACGTCAGAATTGCATTTGAAGGTTATTTCGCATTGGAGATATACAACTAGCTGTTCTCTTGCGGCTTCATCCGAATGAAATTATAAAAGCTTGATCTTATTGTTTACATTTGTCAAATTACAAATGTCAAAATGACATGACATGATGACAACCTTGCCTCCTTGATGTTGGCAACTTATGACATTAGGGTCTTTATCCAAAATATTTACCACCTAAGTTTAATGGCGTGAAAATATATAGTCTAAAGCCTGACGTTAGTGTGGGACTTTTCATTAAAAAAATATTCATTAATATGCTGTAATTGCTGACATCTTAGGCAACAATGAAGTGTGTGTTTACGCTTTATTATAATAGTATAGATACATAAATGTACAGAACAGACGGGTATTGACAACGCCAGAGCTCTAAGACATAATAACTTATGGTCGTTTTCTCAACTATATTTAAGCATTCATTAGTGTTTTTGGTTCAATAGCTTCATGAAATGCATTTCCGAACTACTACTCGAGTTTGTCTACGTTGAAATTTAGGTTAACCTAACACAAATTACTGATGCTAGGTTGATGAATTTTTAATTTATTTTATCTCTAGCTGTTGCCCGCGTCTTCGTACACGCAATATTAAGATAAAAAACTAGTCTATAATATGCCCGTCTATGTCAGCTACACTTCAGTGAAATCGAAATCGAAACAGCCGCTCCGGAGATTATCCTGAACAAACGCACCTCGCTCACAGACAGACAGACAAACAATTTTAAATGCGATTTTCGTTATCAGCAACGCAAATACATCATCATGAAATCATTTTTTTTATATATATAGATTAGAGTAACGTTTTAAGTAAGTTTCAACGGAGTATAACTCACACTAACGAATGGTAAAAAGTCGTTAGGAAACCGGCTACAAGTACTAAAATAAATCGAAACAGCAATCCAGCAATCTGTTTTACGGTTATAGGATTAGATAAATTTATCGAAATACAGAGAGGAATGTATACGAGTGAGCGAGACAAAATCACGTACTCAATGCTTGATCAAATATTTCCCTGATTTCGTTCGTAAAACCTTATCTTATTACTGTTTGTGTAAGTCTTTACCTATCAGTTGTATAGTTGTAATCAGTTATACTTCACTACTGTTATTTTAGAGTGGACTTACACCGACTATATCCTTATTTTAGGAGAACACTAGTTGTTCCCGTGCGGCTTCATACGCAGGGAATTATAAAAACTTTATTTTATCGTTTATTGTTGTCAAATTCTCAATTGCAAATGTCAAAATTACCGTTAACATAATAACATTGCTTCTATAATGTTGGCAACTTGTAATTTATGGTCCCTTTCCCACATGCAGGCTTTTTACAATTTATTGTACACCTAAGTTTAATAGTGTGAAAATAGCCAGAAACGTGTCGTAAGTGTAGGGTTTTTGTTAAAGAAAATAATTATTCAAAAATGTGCTGTGATGACTGACATCCTACGCCACAAAGTAGTGTGTTTACGCTTTATTATAATAGTATAGAAGTATAAATAAATCGAATGTCACTTAATTTGTTAAAATGACATTATCCTTATAGTAGCGGTTTTTCTACAATTTCTAAATCCAGTTACAGTGGACAATTCGTTCACGAGATTTACTCGGTTTGTGGACAAACAGACAGACATTAAAAAATCGAAAAAATATGTTCAGGAAATAAAGGTTATTCCCCGATACAAACTTACACTCCAATTTTATTATCTGTATAGGTATAGAGTGCAATAAAACTAGACTAAACGCAACATCTTATCATATGTATTAATAATATTGAATTACTAAAAAAACAGAACAGATTTCAAGCAGAACATAAGCTGATAAATATATCAACTGTACAAACAAAAATATTTTTATTACCAAATATCTTTCATACAATTACGAAAATCAAAACAAACGGAAAGAAAAGTGATATTCTTTACATCAACAAAGAAAGGAAACATTTATTAAATAAAAAAAATATTTTATAAACACTTTTGGAGAAAATATACGTTTAAACGATTTTATAGTACGACGAACTTATCTGGCCTAGTATGAGGATAACGCGGTTAATTGTCACAAAATGACATAACAGCTAGAATATGAAAATAATCTTTTGACACATGGAGAGATTTAATGCATGGGAATCGCCAGCTTCTTTGTAATAAAAAGTTTTACTACTAGCTACCCCTCTTTGCCATCAGCTTGCCCCCTCTATGGCAATAACGTCCATGCATTAATTAACTATTACAGTCCAGTGTTACTCACCGGGTCAGTTAAGTTGGTCGGACTATATGGTATCTACGTATGTACTCACCGTCGCGTCAGATCGAGATTCTCTTCTCTGTGAAGATTATCATGAAGTCTTAAGTAATATATGATACTGAGCACCAATATGAATATGAGCAAAATTTGATATCTCCTGGAACGATGCCATCTTAACATCATTGTAGATTTCACATCTGAAAACAATAATATAAACAAATAAATCACAAGGTTACTTTACGTCCCCACTAGGTGACTAGGCCTTAGTCAACCACACTGCACAGCGGGTTGACTTCAAAGATCTTTGAATATCTTAGCCGATATGAATTTTATCAAAATGTGATTGTCCAATAAAATATATTTATATGCACTTTGTAATAAATAGCACAGAGCATTTATTTAAAATACTCATGCCTGACATCTGCTACCAACTGCCAGTGACTGTCTTATATGCTAGACATATGCACACTCGAACTTACTAGCAATTCTCTACACTGCGGACATCCATTGTTTTAACATCTTTGCACACACATTGTCATTCAAATATGTATTAAATTATGCAGTCTGGAATATTCAATGTTACTGCATATCTTTTGGAAAAGTGATTTCAATGCATCTAATAATAATACTTAATGGAAGGCTGATGCATGTATGGATGGGTTGATGTTTTCCAGATTGTTCTACATTATACTAATATTATAAATGCAAAAGTTTAGATGGATGAATGTTTGTTAGAGTTTGTAGCCTAAACACCTGAACAGATTTTGATTAAAGGTATGGATGCAGAGGATAGTCAGGATAGGCTAATAACTTTTGTTTTTTTTCTTTAATTCCATGTGAATGAGGTCACAGGCCTAGGCTAGTTTATACTAATATAATAAAGCATAAACACTATTTTGTGTATAGGATGTCGGCAATCACAGCATATTTTTTAATAATTCTGTCTTTAATAAAAAAAACCCTACACTTCAACACACTTTAGGCTATATATTTGTGTATGTATTTTACTGTGGGAAGGAACCATAAACTACAAGCTGCCAACATCAAGGAAGCAAAATATCCATTGTAATCATTAATGTATTTGAATTTTCATATTTACAATTCAGAATTTGACAAATGTAAACAATATAATAAAGTTTTTATAATTTCATGCAGATGAAACAGCTATTTTATACAAAATATAATTAAGATTTGTTAAGCTTTTAAATGTAGTGACAAACATCCATCCAAACTCTTGCATATATAATAGTATGATGGATGGAAAAATAATGTGTAACATTTATACTTAGTTATAATTCTGCCTACTTACCTTGGTCTAATATTACTAATATTAATGCAATAGTTAAGATGTATAGATATTTGTTAGTAGGTATCTCTGGAGCTCAATGGATTTTGATAAAATTTGGCACAGATGTAGAAAAAAGTCCGGAAGAACACAGACTACTAGCTTTTGTTTTTTTTATAGTCATTAAGTGAAGAGTCTGTCTGAAATATTAATGGAAGATATCTATTACTAAAAAAATAATGTAGCTTCGCGATTTTATATAATCAAGGGTTTATATAAACTTTCCTATAGCGAGTTTTACAATTATGCGGCAAGTTTTGTTAAATTCAGTTTAGTAATTATTAATCAATATTTAAAATGTCCAAGGTTAGTTTCATAAAAATGCAATATAAAATATAATAGTTCGTGGTACACCATATTCGTCTTATATTGCATCTTTTTCAAATTATCTTGTTTCAAAAAAAAATTGACCGATCGTTTTTAAGGAAAACGCATTAGAATAATAAGAATAAATTAAAATACTCACATAATTCTGGAAACTTTCCGCTAGCCGCAACGAATGACAAGAAGATTTAGGTTAATCGAAAAACAAGACACATTATAATCAACAACAGAAACCAAACTGAAAGTTGCAATTTTCAATTTCTCTTTTATGAAAATCCAAAAAGCTATAAAACCATGATTAAGGTCGCGTTCGTAATTAAATGTGTCAAAGCAACTATTGTCATAGAATAAAAATTTACAGACGTGCAATATTTTCAAATAATAATGTTTTCGAATTATTATTAATAGTAATGTAGCAAATAAGCGTATGTCAAGGTCCCGATTAACCGCCAAACCATCAGTCTCAGATACCACCTGAGAGACCTCGTGGACTAGCGTTAGCGATCACTTGTATCGGAGGACAAAACAGAACTAACCGCGGCGGTGGCAGTGCCTCTTCTGTCGGCTCATATAAGCTTGTCGCACATATAAAATTTCATCGCCATGTTACACTTTTAGGTAAAAAGTAAATATTATTGTATTGTTAGATTCCTTCCTTTAGAATTCCATTAAAATAGAATTCCTTTAAAATACAAACTGAGTTCCAAGGCTCCGTCGGAACATATCGAATGTTCCGACGGAGGGTTGAGATTGGGACTCCGACTGAGCGACTCCTTACCAAGTATTTTATAAAAACTACTACGACTATTCCTTCCGTTTCCTAATATTTACCTAACAATATCGTCGTTTTAAATTAGGATAAATAGGATTGAAAAATAGCACGAATTAACAAATAACTTATAAAAATACAGGACATATCAAAATAGAAATAATGTGATAGCATGTTAATCTTTGCCGGACACTAACGCCCTCTATCGACAGACGGCGTTTTTGCACATTTTGTGACTCATTACGGTAGCGTTCATTTTAAGCCAATTCTAAGCTTCGATCAACAATGCAAATACGAATTTTTAAGCTGCAACTACACTATTACAGTAGTTCTTTTGTTATATTTCCTTAATTTTTTAGGAAACCAATACGACCAATTGTGTTACTACGACTTTACCTTGTCTAAACACTTACAAAATCACGTACTATTAACAGTTTCTGTATTGATGTTATAAGACAAAAACATGTAGTTAATAATACTATTTTAAATAAGCATTAACACAAAAAAGCGATACTAAAATTCGTAGATACGGTTATAATTTCCGCTATCTCCTAGAAACTAGGAATATTTACGTTTCAAGATATCGAAGGGCGTAAGTTCAAGATCAATGACATACTAGTAACACGTCTGGAATTGTTTCTTGAATTATTTTTCGTTAATTAAAATATGAAATGTATTTATAATAGTAAATAGTGTTATAATTACTTAAATATCATATTCGTATGCTAAATATGAACAAAAAAAACTACAAATATTAAAAAGCTATAATTTTTAATTGCTAATCATTTCTAAAGCAATAAAAGACATGCAGGGAATATAAACTTGTTAATTTTAGATAAAAAAGACATAAAAGTAGAAAAAAAGAAATAAAACTACATTTATTGACATTTTAGTGCCAGTAAACAGTGTTAGCCCGCTTTAACTTCGCATTGTTTGGCCGGCTTGCTCGTCAACAAGCGTTAAGTGGTCGACATTCTTCTGTCTTCTGTTTGATGAATATGTTCAGAACCAATTCCGGATGCCAAATCTAGCCCTAGAAAGAGATGGATGGATTGCGTGAAAGGTGACATGATCAAGGGAGTGACGGAGATGACGTATGATAGAGTTATGTGGAGGACAAAAACCAGTTGCGTCACTACGGGAGTTGGATAAGGAGAAGGATGAAATACAGCCCCTTCTTAAAATTTTCGTATAGGTAAAAAATGGAAAGGAAAAGTGCACACTGGATGTATTTTATAAAAGTGGATACGACTGTTTTGTAAGCGTATCCTTTGTCCTATCGTTTGTTTTAATCATACTAATATTATAAGAGAGAAAGTTTAGATGGATGGATGTTTGTTTGTAGCCTACTGATGAACAGATGTCGATGAAGTTTAATATACATTTAGATAGTCTGGAAGAACACATTGTCTACTTACGTTTTTATAATGCCACGCGGAGTGTCGCGGGCGAAAGCTAGTTTTAATATTAACAATTTAAAAGGTAATTTCAGTATCACGCACTTTAAACGACTCGCTATCATAAAGAATACGTTCTATTATTATACCAGTACTATGATTTTTACATCTGAAACAAAACTAACATACAACAAAACATACAATTTCATTGTATACAAACTGATAAAGAATTGACCCCGTTCCCTACAAGATTCATACAAACGTCTATATGTTTTTGTGTTGATCGCACGCATGTGTTAACAATGTGTTACGGATTGTCAAAAACGTATACTGCAGTAAGTTCTAAATATACTTATTTTAGATTGACTCTAATTTTAATCTAGTCTAATGTTGTTACGACAACTAACGCTCAAAACTAAACAAAACAAATGTAAAAAGCGATGAAAATATTTATTATTTAAATTAATATAATTTAACGTTATTTGTTTATTAAAATATCAAATTAAAACGTAAAATAAAAGAAAAAAATTATTGAATTGAAATTTATATATTTTTTATTATATTGGTACTAATTTTTAGTAAAACATTACGAATAACATCCGTTTAACAATCGAATTAAATAAATAAAAAGTGTTACATACGTCAATTATTAAAGAAACTTGTAGCAATAGAATAATTTTAAATATTACATAATTAACTAATAAATATTTGCCAGCGAAAGTGAATAAAGACTTTCATAACAATTGGGATACAATTACGTCATTTGTATTGAACGTTGGCACTATGACCTCGATAGATTCATGGTGTATTTATCTCTCTTTCTAACTTCAGTTTAATGTATATTTTTCTTTCACTAAAAAATAAGGTCATGAAAACAGATTGATCCACAGATTATGAGATTAATTTTAATTCTTCGCTAAGTTTATTTGGTACTTTTGTAAACAATTTTGTACATTAAGGTTATATAGATTTTTCTTAATAATTTAGATACTTAATTTTTACAAATTACATTTCTTTCTTTTTTCTTCCTTTTTTTACATTTTATAAAATAATTTTGTTTCAGATAATGAAGATTTTGTTCATAATTATCTTCACGGTCACATTATCGAATGCGGATAAAAGATGCAAAGGAATTTACTTCAGAGATCAATATTACAATTTGCATTTAATCAAAGAAGGCATCAATAAACTAGATAATCTAATACTTAATAGGAATGACGATATTTTGTATTTTACATTTGAAGAGTTAATTACACCACCAAATAGACTGGTCGGTTATATTAATATGGATACGAAAGAAACAAAAGTAATCGATGGCATTAAAAATGCCACGTCTATTGCAATTGATCAGAGATTAAATAAAATCTACGTTGGCAGTCAAAATGGACTCTACAAAATAAATGAAATGAAAAAAGTGGAAAGATTGCCTATACAAGATCATATAATAAATTTACATTTCAAAGAAGTTTTGTATTTTACAAACATAAATGGTGATTCATTTATATTCGAAGACGGCTTCGGTGTAATCGTTCAAGAACTACAGGGTGTTAAAATAAAAGAATTAATAGTCGATAATGATAATAATATGTTTTTTGTTAAAAATAATACTTTATTCAGAATTAAATTGGGAACAAAAGCAATAAATATACATGAGAAAATATACGTAGATGTAATTAGTACGGATATTCATACGAAAGCTTACATTTGTAGTAAAACTGGTGTTTACGTGTACAATAAATATAAATTTGCATTAGACAGAGTTTCTGATATGAATTTCTTAAAAGGTTTGACGTTTAATAAAGCCAATGAACCGATTTATGCTGCGAAAGATTTGATTATCAAACTCAGTGAGAATCAGATACCTTGTTTTGAAGATTGATACAAAAATGTAGATTAAATATATAAGTGAAGAAAATATAAATTGTTTAAAGATTGCGGCATTATTATAGGCTTTTTAAGAACGGGTAACACTGACTACTTGTCTTTACGTTTTAAAAATGAGACAGCGCACAAAACTTTGGATAGATAATCGCACAACGGTTGTGCGATTGTCGAGTGTTTCGTTGCCTTCAACTGTTTAGTTGCACAACTAACAATCGACTAGTGTGCGCTTCATATAAGCTCATAGGAATCAAAGAGAGATAACAGTTGTGCGATAATATCATCCACTGCCATTACATTTGTAATAAGTGACATGTCTTTGATTTTGTTTTTTTGTATTTTTGATAATAAAAAAACCTTTTTATTTACAAAATGATTTTTTATTATTTTTATTCGTTTTTTTTTGTGTTCGTGCTTTTGTTATAACATAGTGTAGATTATATGTATATTTTTTTGTAACGTTCCAATACAAAAATATGGTAATTTGAAATAAAAAGCAGACGAAAATCAACAAATTTATTTTATTTACAATATAGTTAAATCGGAAAATTGACTAAAATTGTAGAACTGGTCTTGATGGCAACAAAAAATGATTTCGCATCTGTAACAAAAAGACACTTATGAAAAAAAAAACATTAAAACACTCATTATTATAACAATCGTACCAAAGAAAGTCCAATAATGCCCGATCTCTGAGGTTAGTATTGACAATTTACCCATTCGATAACTATTGGTTCGATAACATACATCTATAGTAAAAAGGCCGTCAGTTAACACATGATAGACATTTTTGAACTGCAGTTCTTACCCCCCCCCAAACAGGAGATCCGCGTGAAGTGGAAATAATTCCGCTTTTCGTTTGATGAATATGAGGCCTAATAGTCCCTTTCCCTTCCCATTCTTATTTATTAGGAAGTAATTTCAAGGAAAAATGGATGGAGACGCACAGGAAGAGGAAATATCCTCTTTATGAGTCTTCATCTTTGATTTATTGTAGACAATGCATGCAATTGCGGATGTCTATGGGCAGCGGTCGCTTCGCCATTTTGTCGGATTCAGGTGGCCGCTTGCACGTTTGCCACCTTATCTATACTATTATAATAAAGCGTAAACACACACTTCTTTGTTGCCTAAGATGTCAGCAATTACAGCATATTTTTGAATTATTATTTTTTTAATAAAAAGCCCTACACTTAAGTCATGCTTTAGGCTATATATTTTCACGCCGTTAAACTTAGAGGGTAAATATTTTGGATAAAACCCTTAAGTGGGTAAGAGACCATAAGTCGCTGCCAACATAAAGCAAGATTGCCAAGGTTTGTCATGTCATGTCATTTTGACATTAGCAATTGATAATTTGACAAATGTGAAGAATAAAATGATTTTTTTTATAATTTCACACGAATGAAGTCGCATGGAAATAGCTAGCTAGCTAGCTAGTAGTATATAAAAATAGCTTTCTAATGGTGAAAGAAGTTTTAAAATCATCCGAGTAGTTTTTGTGTTATTCCATTAGATACAGAAATACAAATCTTGCTTGTTTATGACATAAGTATAGATAAAGTAAGTAGTGACGTGTTATGTGACGATGTCTGTGGGCTGCGCGGGGCAGAGCGCGCCGCGGCACTCCGCGCCGTAGTCGGCGCACGGCCGGTCCGACACCTTCAGCGGCTCCACCTTGCCGCTGTATTGTATCACCCTGGAATGGATACTTTACTATTTAGATCACCATGTAACGTATATTTCAGTATTTATACAACCTTGTAATGTATACTTCAGTATTTAAATCACCCTGTAATGTATACTTCAGTATTTATATAACCTTGTAATGTATACTTCAGTATTTATACAACCTTGTAATGTATACTTCAGTATTTATACAACCTTGTAATGTATACTTCAGTATTAATACAACCTTGTAATGTATACTTCAGTATTTATACAACCTTGTAATGTATACTTCAGTATTTAAATCACCCTGTAATGTATACTTCAGTATTTAAATCACCTTGTAATGTATACTTCAGTATTTAAATCACGTTGTAATGTATACTTCAGTATTTATACAACCTTGTAATGTATACTTCAGTATTTATACAACCTTGTAATGTATACTTCAGTATTTAAATCACCATGTATCATATATTTCAATATTTAAATCTCCCTGTAATGTATACTTAAGTATTAAAATCACCCTGTGATATACACTGAAGTATGAGGATGACCCTGTAATGCATACTTCAGTATTTTGATGACTTTGTAATCGACAAAATGCTGAAATATGTATTTTTAGCGGTTTCCGTCAGATATTTCAATTGCAAATTCTTATTTGAATTATTTTTAGAAAAATCTTACCCATAATCTCCCTTTTCCATCCATTTCTCGTCTATTTTATTGAGTTGCTCGAACTTTCCCTTGGGCAGACCACAGATCAGGTCCGCCTTCACAGTGCGCAGAGCTATTATAGGAGCGGGATTGAAACCTAGAGAAATAACACATACAGGATGTTTTAATAAAATAATAACACTCAAAACGATTTTAAATCGTCCCTTTTGAACGGAAACGTAATATCGGAATGACAAACGTCATATATATTAAGGGCCTGTCCCACCACATATAACTTAAAACTATCGTGATTTTTCCTGATACAACGACCATCTTACTGTCCTTATTCTTACTTTACTAAGTCCACAATAGATTTTTTCTATCGACAAACACACGGTGACCACACTTGCGCGTACTAAGTTGGCCGTCCAGTATTGTAATACTGGAGCACTGGATTACAGGCACTCGACAATTCAAAACCATCTTCGCGATTGAAATATTTTAGCATCTAAAAAGGTTTAGGAAGCTGAGTTTAAAAAAAAGCTTTTGTCACCTTGCAGTGCCTGATCAAAGCTGAGTGTGGGCACGCAGTTCCTCTCAGCCAAGAGCTTGCGGTAGTTGAGGTCGCCCTTGAACAGCACCGCCGCCGTCAGCTGCAGCTTGCGGTACAGCTGGAACGCCTGCGCCTTCATCTCCTTGTACATGATCGGGGACGTCCAGAACTCATCGCACTACGGACACAGCGGTATACGTTGGTATACATAGAATGGATACGTTGGTATACATTGATATACTTCGAATGGATACGTTGATGTACATCTGATGGATACATTGACATATATCAAATGGATACGTTGGTATACATCGATATACATCAAATGAATACATTGGTATACATTGAATGGATACATTGGTATACATCTAATGGATAAATTGGTATACATTGAATGGATACATTTGTATACATTGAATGGATACATTAGTATACATCTAATGGATACGTCGGTATACATCGGATGGATACGTCGGTATACATCAAATGGATACATTGATATACATCTAATGGATACGTCGGTATACATCGGATGTATACGTTGGTATACGTTGATATACTTCGAATACGTTGGTATATATCAAATGGATACATTGGTATATGAATATGTAATCTTACTAATATTATAAATGAATAAGTTTAGATGGATGTTTGTTAGAGTTTGTAGACTGCTGAACGGATCTGGATGATTATCATAGATCTAGATAGTCTGGAAGAACACAGACTATATTTTTTTTATTCCACGCGAATATAGTCGCTGGCAAGTTAGTAGATAATAATTTGTACAATAAGCGTATATTACCATGACAACAAAGGTTCCATCCTCAAAGAACTGCATCCATTTGTGTCCGAGCTCTCGCAGGCTGTCGGCCGACACGCGCTGCGGCGGCACGGCCGCGCCCTCGCCCTCGCCCTCGCCCGGCTCTACAGTATTACAGGATTCACATTTACCCAGTCCAATAAGACAGTAAAGAGGCAGGTATGGTCACACAATGCCTGTTTAGTTAGCGGTTCACATTGAACCAATACAGTAATGCAGGTAGGGTGTGAATTCACCGGCGACGGTTAGTGTTCACACAATGCCAGTCCAGTTATCACTGTATTGGCCAAGTGGGGACTGGTATTACACGTGTGACGTCATGATGCTAACTTTTTTATCTATACTAATATAATAAAACAATAAAACAAAGTTTTCAAGTTAAGGGATGAGCTAGTTTACTTCTACTAATATTAAAAAGAGGAATTGTATTTCTTTATATATTGAAATAACTCAAAAACTACTGGACAGATTTCAAAAATTCTTTCACCATAAAAAAGCTACGTTATCAGTGACATAGGCTATAGTTTTTTTATTACACGCGAGCGAATTCGCCAGCGAAAGCTAGTATGAAGTAATTTTTTTACCTGTAGGAGCTTCTTGCGGTACTTCTCTGCTATAATTAGCATTTGCACACATTTCTAAAGTTTTTCTGAAAGTAAAAATCATTATATTAGTATATACAAAATATTTTTTCACCGTTATTATATATGAGCTGTTGCCCGCGACTTCGTCCGCGTGGTATTAGAAAACATACAAATTACAAAAAGCTACGTATCCCGGGAACCGGACATTTCTCGGAGATGAAGCTTATCCCATGTGTACTCCACACTTTGTTTTATATCTGTACCAAATTTCAATAAGATATGTTGAACCGTTGCAGAATGATCGAGTAAACATTAAAAAACTAAATTATTGAATCCCAAAGGAACCGTAACTATTCCCGGGATAAAAAGTAGCCTAAGTGTTCTTCCAGACTATGCTCTAAACCTGTGCCAAATTTCATCGAGATCTGTTTAGCCGTTTAGGCTACAAACGCTAACAAACATCCATCCATCTAAACTTTCGCATTTATAATATTAGTAAGATTTATGTGTAAAAACATACTTAAAATCGACTGGAGTGACGTCAGACACGAACCAAGGGATCTTTTTAACGTGAAACCGAACCTGAAAAGGCATTTTTTTAATCACAATATTGTATTTTGTTTTTATTTTACAACTTAAGTAAAAATTACCTTCTTAACAATATCCTGTGATATCAAAAAGTTCGCTAAACACAAATCCGAGAATAATTCATATCCCGAATTGTCGCAAACAATATCTGAAACAATTAAAACAAAAATTAATGCTTTATTATATTTTAATTACCACAAAAAAGTACTGTAAAAACAGTATGGTCATTATTTTTTATTCAATATTAAATAAATTATTTTACAGCAAAATGTAACAAGGAAGTCACCTGATTTCGCCAAATGAGCGAAAGAATTGCCTTCTTTCATTTATGTTTCCTCGCCCATTAACGCCCTTCCCTTACTTTTTCCCAGTATAGGAGTCTCCAGCGAATTTGTAGTGGTTTGTATATCTATTTTATATTTTTGGAGTCTAGAAGCGGGGAGGGGTTGCTCCCCTACCGATTTCTAATTTTCCCAATAATAGCGTATTTTCTATATGTACTGACTTAAAGAAAATACTTACCAAATGTTACAACTTCTGGCAACACCATTTTAGCAGGGCAGGGGATCTTAGGAGGCTCTTCCGCCTGCTCCCTTTCCGCTTCAGACTTATCTTCCAGCTTCGTTTGAGACTTCGCTTCGGGCTCCGGTTCCTAGATAATTTAATAAATATTTCGACTCGAATGTTTTTTAAAATAAAAACAAAAATTAACGAGTATATAATATCTAAATTCCAATACATAAATACAAATAGACTAGAATACTGAGCGATTGAACGATTTATCCCTTTTTTAAGACTACCCCCACTATTCCTTCTGCTTACTAACATTTTTTAATGCTTTCCACACTTTGCCAGTACAGTAAGTCTACAGCGGACAATAACTGGACTGGAAATGAACTGGCGCATTGTTTCCTAGCCACTGGCGTTAGTAAATTCATACAATCTATGACTGGCCATCGCAACTGCACTGGCCAAGTGTGAACCGGGCATAATATATATTTTTTTATACTTAGTCAAAAAAATCGTATTATACTTTTTACTCTACGTTGGTAATCTAATTAAGAAATGTGGGAAAGGTAATTTTAGGAAGGGGAACATTTAAAAAAAAAATCATCCAGCATCTATTACAGTAGTCAACAAGAACATACATTTGTAACAAATAAACTCAAAAACTACTCAAACTATTTGAAAAATTCTTTCACCATTTGAAAGCTACATTATCACTGAGTGTTACAAAATACATTTATGTTTTTTTTTTTTAATCTAGATCAAAAGATAGCTATAAAAGAACCTTGTCGGGACATCGCGGCATCCCGAATTGTGTCGCTAATCGGTGACAACTGCATTGAAACTTAAATGTCGTGTTCTGTAATATGGAAAACAACATTTCCCTTTTATTGCTAAAAATACAACACATTTAGTCAGCCCTTGATTTATTAACTAGCTGTCGCCCGCGATTCTGTTCGCGTGGAATTAAAAAAAAATGAGTAGTCTGTGTCCAGACTATTCTCTACATCTATACCAAATTTTATCAAGATCCGTTCAGCAGTTTAGACTACAAACTGTAACAAACATACATCATCCATCCATCCATCTAAACTTTCGCATTTATAATATTAGTATTATTAAATAAAGTTAGTTAAAATTGTGAGCGTGTTAAAATTATAACTAGACAGTTGTTAAAAATTCTAACTGTACAGTTGTAAAACTCTAACTGAACAGTTGTAAAACTCTAACTGTACAGTTGTAAAACTCTAACTGTACAGTTGTAAAACTCTAACTGTACAGTTGTAAAACTCTAACTGTACAGTTGTAAAACTCTAACTGAACAGTTGTAAAACTCTAACTGAACAGTTGTAAAACTCTAACTGTACAGTTGAAGAACTCTAACTGTACAGTTGTAAAACTCTGACTGTACAGTTGTAGAACTCTAACTGTACAGTTGTAAAACTCTAACTGTACAGTTGTAAAACTCTAAC